GAATGTATGTACTGATGTGTGTGTATGTCCACATGTATGCTTGGGATTAAACTATTATCTTTGTGTTTTTCATTTTAGGAGATTTTTTTTGTTTTTAAACTATTAAGTAGACAAAAGGACAACAAAAAAGGGTATTTCTTCCTTCTCACTAATAGATAACAAAAAATATTAAAGTACATGATACTCAAGGATTATCGGATCTTCTGACACTAAGTAGATGAAAAATATCAATATTTTGGAACTAAGTAAAAGGTGAATTAAGAAACACACACTCCAAAAGATATCAGGAAAATTTAGTAGAATTTAGTAATAGCTTTGATAAAATATTTACTTGTTTTCAAATTATGTATCAGCAGACTACTAGATGAAATTTCCTGTGTACTTTTAAGGCTAAATGATAAAAATCATACCATTAAGGAAGGGAAAAAATCCCCAATACTTCTCCCCTCACACATGTATCAGAGGCCAAAGTAAAGGCCTTGATATGATCTAAATAATTAAATAAAGACTGCCAGAAACACATACTTTTATGGGCATAGTTTTTACAGAAATAAAAACTCATCATCAAAATAAAAATGTGTCAAACAACGCATGACTTAGTATCAGGTATCCCTTACTGTACAGTGTAAACTGACTTTGTATTTGGGAAAGTGATACTGAACTTTCTGGTACTAACCAAAGGGTATGACATGAGAGAGAATGTTAAATGATTTAACCATAATTCAAAATGGGATGATGGTTGGGGGCAAGGTATTTCTAATCTTGAAAAGCAAAAATGAAATTCTAAATAAATGCGGAAATACCAAAACATACAAAAAGATTACAAATTGGAGGACATTTCTCAAAGTAGCCTTGGAGCAACCCAGTTTTGTCCCTGCTGTGGTTACAGTTTAGACATGAGAGGTTCCCAAAGATTGTGTTGAATGGAAGCTTGGTCCTCACTGGGTGATACTATAGAAAAATGGCTGGACTATGAGGGTGAGGATGCTAATTCACTTATTGAATGAGTTCTCAGGAGGTGGAGCCTGGTTGGAGGGTAGCATGCCTTTGAAGGGTCAACAGGTTAAATCTTGGCTTTATGTATCCCATCCTAACCTTTGCTTCTAGCTGACATGAGGCAAGTAGCTTTGATTCATATCAAATATATTCTGCTAAAATGCAAGCCCAAAGAATGGGCCAAATGACATGGACAAAACTTTGTGACCCTTCTAAAATGTTACATGAAAAATCAAGTACAATAAGATTAGGTGAAAGTTCAGGGTAGAAAAGAAGACAGAGTATGCTGAATACAAGTATAACTGGAAAACAAAGCACTACAGAGAAGCCAGGCATGGTGGTGCTATCTTAGAATCCCAGGTATTGGGAGGCTGAGTGCTTAATGCCTCTAAGATACGGAGTGAGTAACAGAGATAAGACTCAGTCTCAAAAAATTACAAAACAAAACACCAAACGTGACAAACATCCCCCACTCCAAGACTCAGGAGTTCTAGCCTTCTAGTCATACAGAAGCAACATGGAAACATAAGCGACATGGAAAAGCCTGTCAAAAACCACCTAAATATAAAAACATGTAACTCTAAGTACAAAATGTTGAGGAAACACATCAAAGGAATGCATGAGGATAAGGTTATGAAGAAAAAAGTTCATATCACTATCTGAACAGGTCTGCTCTATGATAAAGGACCTCCTTGGGAAATAAAAATGAAACAGACCAAAAGACAAATTATAAAAGTAACATTACTTGATTCAGTTAGATTATACTGATATGTAAAATCAGTGTGTTCCCTCCCCCCAAATTTGATTATAGAATCTATTATTATATGTGTGAAAATAAGAATGTTAGTTTTCTTTATAATAAATGTAGAATGAAAACAGTTCATTGCATTTTATCAATGACTATTAGAATAGGATGGAGTGGCACCTTCTGATAAGCACTGCTGATGGTAACAGGCCAGGGAGAAGATACATGAAGTATGAAAAGCTTAAGTTAAGAGATCTTGCCTTTGGAAGAAGAGGCAGGAGTAGAGGACACCCTATGAGGTAGAACTTCCTGGTACAAGTGTCTGAAATTATAAAAATAATATGAGCTGTATTTAAAGGACATTTTAAAAGCTGCCTCTTTCATATCATTAGACAGTCTTGCAGATGAAAGAGAGACTCTTCCCTTGTGTTTCCCAGGCATTTAAATATCTCAGATGACTAAACTAAAGAAGATTTGGCAAAAAGGGAGAAAGGGCTTAAAATGGACACCTGGAATACCAATCACTAAAATGGATTTCGTTAGCAATGAGCATGTCCCTAAGACTCTCCTATAGAGATCCCAAAGAAAATTCCCCAAGGAGCTGTAGGTGAACTCATCTGCACTCGAGACTACAGCCATAACTGCACAGCCCTCTCTTTGTTCAAAGCTTTTGTGGGGAATGCCCTCTTTAAGAGCGTGCTAGAGTCACACACTTCAAAAATCTCAATTTTGAGTCACTAACAGCAGACCACCTGTGCCTTTATCTTTTCTTACTTGCTTGGTCTATTGTGGAAGTAAATGATCCTACAATTTATTGATTTAATGCATTATAGTTCTCTTCTCTAGCCTTTATGTTTTTCTGTAAGTTGAAAAAGGAAAGTGCAGTCAGTCATCCAAAAGGGTTAAGAAAAGTCAAGATAATATTAAAAATACTAAGAAAGAAAATGGATTTCAAGAAAGGAATAGAGAGTAATGCATATAAATAAGGAAGGTGAAGAATTTTCATCTTGAATTGAATAAAGCTTAAAACAAAAATTAAACTTGAGTCATTCCTTACATTTATCTCACCTTTTCAAATTGCCCAGTGCCTAACAGACCTGGTGGTTTTTACAGAGTTAAGAAAATGTACTCAGCATTCATGAAAAGAGTATATATGAGAAGAAGGTTCAAAAAATAAGAAGAGATTTTTAGATTTAGGTACAGTAGTGTACTTGTAATCTCAACACTTTTGAAACCAAGATAGGGAGATCTTGAGTTTAAGGCCAAGTCTGGGCTATAGTATAACCCTATCTAAACCACCCACCCACTCATCAAGACAACCAAAGAAACAAGCAAGCAAACAAGATGGCCTTGGATTAAGAACAAGCAAGCAAACAAGGTGGCCTTGGACTAAGATGCAGGTCTGTGTTTCCCTAGTGTTGTTTGTTAGTGTGTGTTTTTTAAATTAAGCACTGAAAAAAATCCTGTAAATGAAAAATATAAAATTATATATATATATTATAATATGTATATATTATATATATATATATTTTTTTTGCTGGTATGGGGCTTGAACTCTGGGCCTGGGTACTGTCCCTCAGCTCTTCAGCTTAAGACTAGCACTCTACCACTGAGCCCCAGCACCATTTATAGTTTTCTGATTGTTTAATGGATGTAAGAGTCTCACAGATGTTCCTGCCTGGGCTGGCTTTGAACCATGATCCTCAGATCTCTGCCTCCTGAGTAGCTGGGATTACAGGTATGGGCCACCAGCACCCAGCATAAAACAATATTTAAAAGTACATTTAGGTTATAATACTGAGGAAGGCAACATATATGAATTGTCTTGGAATATTTCTGGAGATTTAAATTTTCTGGAGTATAAAATTTATATATACACATATATTATTATTTAAGATGTTCCAACAGTTAAATAATAGAACAAATATTGAAGATTACAGACATTGTAATTGTGACATCAAAATCCTGAGCTTAAATTACTTCAAACTAAACCTTAGTTTTCAGCTAAATCAATCAATGTGAGACAAGAATAAAGACATTTTCAGACATAAGAAACTTGTTGTCATTCTCAGAAAGCTCAAAAGAAAATATGTGAGAGATTCAGGAAAGAGGCATCTCAAATGGGAACGAAAATGACCACCCTCCAGCCCTAATACCAGGGCGAGAAGGAAGAGCTATGGAGGTATATGAGAAGTGTAGCAGGTCTGAGGGCAAAGTTCAGAATGGATATGGAAAAGGTGGGTTTCCGAAGAATACTATCAACAGAAAGAATCGGAGTAGTTGTACTCTAGGGAAGAAACGTTAATAAATTAGGATAAATTCATTGAGGGGGAGTGGGAAATGATACAAAATACAATCATGTTAAAGTCCAGAAGTCATACAAAGGTGAATAATATTTACATGCTTAGTATAGTAATGAAACCAATGTATATTTGTTTGGTCTTTTTAAATGAAAATGATTTTCTAGTTTGTTTCTGAAAATGTATCTTCCAATTCTCAAGATTTGATTTTTTTTTTTTTTTTGGTCGGCCATGGGGCTTGAACTCTGGGCCTGGGCGCTGTCCCTCAGCTCTTCAGCTCAAGGCGAGCACGCTACCACTTGAGCTACAGCACCACTTCTGGTTTTCTGGTGGTTTTTATTGGAGATAGGAGTCTCACGGTCTCTCCTGCCTGGGCTGGCTTTGAACCGTGATCCTCAGATCTCAGCCTCCTGAGTAGCTAGGATTACAGGCGTGAGCCACCAGTGCCCGGCTCAAGATTTGATTTTTTACTTGATGAATAACAAAAACAATGCAAGATGAAATTATAGTAATATAGGATGAAAGCAATTGTAAAAACACTTTTTAAAAAGACTATTCCACTCTCTGTTTTTACATATATGTTACTAGAATACAATATACATATTGGTCTGTCATAAGATCTATGTAACATTTAAATTTGGAGGAAAAGGGTAATTCCATTTTCTTTATATTTTAAAAAAGCTCTAAAATTCATTAGTCATAGAAAATAAAAATGTTTTCTTCTAAAAACATCCTACAATTTTCACGAGCTTTAAATAATATACATAAAAGGCCATCTTTTTATTTGTTACTAGTAATCCTGAAATAGATTCTTGTAAACAATATATAAGATATTTGAAGTTGGCATTTTAGAATTAATAGTAATCCAAACTACAACTCCCCACATTTCTCATTAGTACTGGAAAAACCTGGGCCATGAATTTAATGGTGAGAATGAATTGTGATTTTGAATGGCTTACCTGCTGGCAGTTTTCACAGAACAGTTTTTCTTGTGTCCTCTTTCAGCTCGGTTATCTCTCAGGAGCTGATGGTATGTAAAAGTGTTCAGACAATGTTGTAGAAACAACAAATATTTGGGGAAAAATCTTATTCACAGGGATACTAATTTTCTCACTTACATTATCTCTTTTTCTATGAGTTTCTCTGAAAGTAAAGACTACTACACCTTTGCTAAAGATGCCACTATTACTGTGGCAAAGTGTCAGTAGGGGTGGCCATCTGGTTGACATTCTCATCAATATAGTAAACCGACAATCTTCATAGTACACAACTTTGGAGGTGAAGTCTAGAACTCAGGTCTGTCTCTGGTCTCTGGAAGTAAAATAACCTCTAGCAATGCATTAACTGTGAAGCTGTCAATTGGGCTGATATGAAAGAGTTAATTCTATTTTGTGGATGATTGCCTACTGTAGTAAATAAGTACACTTAAAGCATTCTACTTCAATAATTATTGGCTTAGCAATATATAATTAGAAAACATTGTATATTTGATTGCCTCCTCAAAATACTGTCTCATTCACCTCCCTTCAAAATTGCTTTGTCGTGACTGGAAAGAAAACAAAAAAAAAAACAAAAATCAAGTAGACAATACTCTTCACTCCATGTTCACTCAAACTGTAGTTTATATTATGCATGCAGATTTATATGGAGACTGGGCTAAAAAATGATGATCAGCATTATTAGAAATCAACTCTGCAAAAATAGAAGCTTTAAAATAATGTAATATTGAACTGGGTTCTAATCCCAGCTCTACCAGTAACAAGTCACTAGGCTTAACAAATAGTTTTTTACAGTAGGTTTATTATGTGACCCTAGGTAAAGTAGTTAACCCTCCTAAGCTCTAGTTTTTACCTGTAAAATAGAGATAAAATAATATTGACTGGCGTAAGGCTGCTGTGAGTATTAAGTAAGATAAACCATGTAAAATGCTTAGTTCTATGAGACTGGATCATATATAGGAAATGCTGAGAATATGGTATCCATGCATTTACAATTAATGATCCTGACTGTCACTAGATATAGTCTGACCAGCTTCAATTACTTTATATGAAGGATAACTGCTTTCCACTGTTCAATAACTTCATTTACAATCATTTGTTTATCAACAAGAACAGACATTAGATCATTAAGAACCTGGTTAGAAAGAATGTCTTAACTAAATACACATATCCTCAGCATCTACTTCTTTCCATCTCAACGGCCACCATCTAGTCTAGGCCATCTTTTTTCAACACCTATACCAACTTCCTTAAACAGCTTCCCTACCTCCAGTCTTGCATCTAGCTAATACATTCTTCATACTGTAACCAGTGAGCTTTCTCAAGCTATGTGATTTTATGCTGTGCAAGGCTTTCATAATCTTTTATAATATGATTATATCTGTAAGTTCACAATTTATTATTCTGCTGTGTCCCACTGACCTAACCTCCATCCCTATAAATGACACATAATCCCTGCCATACTGAAATTTAGTGCATGCACTCACTATGACTGGCCCTTAGCTTTGATTATTCAACTTGTCTGCATCTCCAGAATTCAGAACTATGTCTGAACCATTTTTAGTACTCAATAAATATTTGTTGAATGAATGACTGAATGTGTCAGTGGTGTGATAAAATGGGGAGTGTGATGTTATATGTTATGTAGCTGCAGCCATGTTCCATTACTACTACTTATGAAAAATATCAACCACTACAAAAATAAAGTATATTAAAAATGGTGGTTACTTTTCTATAGTATCTCAAGTCCATTTATCTTAAGTCCATTAATCTGAAAGTGTTTCAATTTAGAAACACTTTGTATCATGGGCGCTAAATTATTACTAAAAATTAAAAATATTTGTTTTGGAATTTCTAAACCTAGTGACTTTAAAATGTGTATAAACTATATATATATACATACATATATATATATATATATATAAACACACAAACCAACACTTGTGACACAGATAAGCTAGAAGAAAAAATCTCTACCTCTGTTTTAAGTAATATTTTTGTAATTTTAAGATAAAAGATACCTTTATAGTTTTTCTGAGGTTTGTGATAAAACAGTTCAAAGACCTCAAAGTGCTACTTACAGTGTCCTGAACTAGAATTCTATGCATTATTTCAGAAAGTGTAACTATAATGATGAAAATAAACATTAGTTCTCAGACACCATCTGAATAAATTTAAATGATAACACATTTTTCTGAACTTCAATACTGTATTTATTCATATTACAGCTATATAATGAATGACTCTTCTTCCTCAAGTTGACATCTGTGGCCAGCATATAAAACCAAGACTGTTACTGCAATAAAGCAATATACATCTATGTACAAAAGTTAGCCCCAAATTATCTCACTTTACCAATAATATTCTAAATTGGATATATCTTTGGAAGTTTTTTTTTTTTTTTTGTACTAGTACTGGAGCTTGAACTCAGGATCTTGGCACTTAGTTTCTTACTAAAAGTGGAGCTCTACCACTTGATCCACAGATCCACTTCTGGCTTTTTGATGGTAAATTGGTTGATACTCTCATGGACTTCTCTGCTCATGGCCATGCTGGTTTAGAATAGTGATTTTCAAATCCTAGCATCTTGAGTAGTTAGGATTACGGGGTGGGTTAGTGGTGCCCAGCCCTTGTGCAATTTTTAAGATGCAGCTTATATAAAAATATAGCCTCAGATCACTGGGTCATAAATCTAACAAGTTGATATATGAACACAGATTATCAAAAGAACAATGCTGAAAAAAATTCATGTAGGATACTACAGTAAAATAAAATACATTTATATGTAAAAGATTCCTGACATATTTTCTTTTGAAAAAGGAAATTAAGTTGAGAATTCCCAGTAGGAGAAACACAAATCCTGGAGCCTTGTCTGATAGCAAGAACAACCTATCATACTTTGAAAATACTTTCTTCTCCTTATTGTAACTTTTCTATTCATGGAATTCCTATCAGTGTCACAAGTGAGGTCATTCTTAGGATTCTGACTCAAAAATGTTATGTCTGATTAAAAACAGAACTTCTGAATATGGTGTGCAGTGCTTCTTACCTTCCAACTTTCAGATTGCTGGACTTAGGTCAAACGGAGGTACAATTCCCTTATTAGTGACCTGCAGGTGTATATTAAAGATGCGTGTGTAAGAATTACATTAAAATGCACAAATGCATAACCTAGGCATACAACTTTTAAACTTGCTAAACTAAACCAGGAAGATGTGTTCCTATGGAATGAGTTTCTGTGGCTATTTATGATCTTTTCACAAGATTATCAAAAGTCTCAAATTCTTGACAGAAGAGGAAGAAACAAAAGAGCAGAATTCCTCTCCTCACTATCTGATATTGACAAGGCATTCACCTTGGGAGTGTCTCAAATGGAATCTCTTTCAGTGAACTCCTCAGTTATCTGCAAAGTATTTCAAGGCTCTTCATGTTCATCTCAACTATGATCTATGACCCATCCAGACACATGTAAAATTCAGCCAAAAAAATCAAACTATTTAAGATGCTGGGGGAGAGAAAGCCCCAGAAATTAAATACACATGTGCATACTTGTGCACATACATATGTGCTTCAAAGAGTTGCTTCTCCCTCCTTCCTTCTCTGACTTGATTCATAGATCTTTCTATTGTTTTCTTAACACTTACCAATATATTATAAGTACTGCTCCTATTCCCATGTTAGGGGAAAAGATATGCTGCTTTTCAAACACAGTTCTTTTTGTTAAAATAGAGAGTACCTAATGGACAATGGCTGATAGGTAAGCTAGTTAGTTAATGTGTAATGAAAAGTATGATCATAATACTGAATGGAAATGGGAATAGGATTAAGCATCAAAGATCAACAAGAACCAAAAATCACAAGTTGGGAAAAGGAATAAGGACTGGAATGGGGCTAATAATTTTATTTTGAAAATTTAATGTGAGGAAAATAATAGGTGATTAGGCATGGTAAAAGTCATTCATTCAACAATATTTTTTTAAGATTTTTACAATTCTCTATGGTCTTATATCTCAACACTTGGACCTAGGTTTCCAATAGTTTGCTATGATAAAGTTAGGTTTAAAAGCTGAAGTAGCTATGACTAGCTCTCAAAACATAAATAATGTGTACTTATATGTACAGTTGAAATCATCCACTTGTTAACATTTATTAGCCAATGAATAACATCATGGTCCTTTCTCTTAGTGCTTTTGTAGTTATGCACAGACATGCATAGAAGGCTATATATTGTATTCACTAAAGTGAGAGCTGGAGCTAAGGTCCAAAATGGGGTACTCTGTCTTCCTGTTTCAGTTCTTATGCTGTGAACAGGTAGGAATTTCTATTTTCTGTTGAGCACTATGTTATATGTTTCTGTTGAGCACTTTGCAATTTATATGTTGGGGGTAATTTCACTGTTTCAAAACTCAAATTTACAGAAAAAATATGAGTGAATTATTTAAGTCATATGTAGGTATGAGTTTCAGGGTTACTGAGTATAGTATTTATAAGCCAATAATCTACATACAAAATAAAGTATCTTAAAACAGAGACACACATAAATATCAAGGATATATATTGATTGGTTGATGAAGATGTGACTGGAGAAACTGATCCTGTCTTTCTCCAAAGAGCATTGCCCAGGAGTGAATGATTAAGTGTTTGAGCCTATAGAATATAGAATATAACTACTACAAGATGAAAGAAATACCTACATATATTAATGGATAATTTCTCTAGTCAAGATAAAAATCTAAACTGTTATAGTAAAGTTCAAACAAAAGATAGATTTAAATATTAGTCAAAGCCCATCAACTTTCTACTTTGTAAGCTATTATCCATTTGCTTTTTTTAGTGCTAGGGATTGAACCCAGGGACTTGTACATGTTAGGTACATACTCTAACACTAAGCTATACTGTAGTCTTCGCTATTAATTAAATTTTCACAAGACAGTAAATTTGACTAGAGGTCAAAGTTCCAGTTATACAATAAAGCCCAACTTTATAACATCAACTTAAAAGTTAAAAAAATTATAGGGTAACAATGAGATTCAAAAAGATTACACTTTGGGATGAAATATCTCCTTTATGCTAGGAGATATAATATAGAAGCGGAATTATTGTAAGCATGCTGTGTTGAGAGATATGAAGGTAGAATGTCTAATTCTTTGCATTCCAGATAGTAAGATAAACACATCATAGGACAGTTTCCAAACTTACAGCAATAGCAGGAATATATTCTATATTGATGCAAGAAGTATAGTTCAAAGGGAAAATCACTCATGGAAAATGACTAGATAAGAAAAATCATTGCAAATGAATTTGAATTCCCAACACATTTTTCTTTCCTTAAGCTTTTATATGTTAGAGAATTAATAAGACAAAGAAATGTAGTACAGATTATAATGAAACACATGCCACCTCCTTAGATAGATAGATGCAACTATGACTGTTGCATCTAAATATGAAGACTTTACACATCAGTGATAAGAGTAAGGTAATCAATTACTATTTCTAAACATAAGCTTCTCTTTTTGCCTACTTCCCTTTCCTACTCCTCAGAAGAAATGTTCTTCAAGGATTTGGATTTTATCACTGCCATGTATTTTAAAAGTGTGATTTCTTACGATCATCCAATAAAAAAATAACATCATTCATCATGAACAAAAAAAAATCCATGAAAAATTTCAAAGGCTAAAATGTATATGCTTTAAAGCTTCTCATAATATAAGCTCTAAATTACCTTAGCATGGTACAGAGGGAAAAGTAATGCATTCAAAAGACAAAGGAACTAGATGAATTATTATATGTGCAAAGACAACTGAAATGAATGCCAAGTTCTTTGTTAAACCAACGAATCATTGTATTGTCATGTATAGCAAGAGGAGATTAAAAAAATTCATTTATAGACTGAATGGAAATAGGTAAGAAATGATTGCTAAATTCTACACTTTCATAAGAAATAATCATATGTTCATCTTATATTTAATAAAAATTACTTTCAAAAGCACTTCCCTCCCTCAATTCTGTGAAACCATGTGTAATGAAGTCTCACACATGAATGTGTTACAGGCCTTTCCATGAAGTCAATCGTGTGACTCAGGAATGCAGCAGTAGTTTGGGAAAACTCTGGTGTTGAGGACCATTTATATGTCAGTGTGTGAAGCCCTGGTACCATTAACTCCTCTAAAAATAAGCTAAGGATTTATTTATAGACTTTTTCTCATAAAGCTGACCTATTATCCTAAAGGGAAATAGATAAATATCTGAAAGAGACCGACTGCTTTTGGATGAGGATGTTCCTTACCTGGCCATGCTCTGTCCTAGCCCCAGGGCTAAACCAATGGCTGTGGAGGAAAGAGAAGAGGTGTTACCAGAACTGGCTGACAGTACTTGCTCTCCAATCACCGATTTGAATGTGCTCACCAGACTGATTCACCACCAGCAACACAGCCTTAAATATGCTTTATTTTAATGGATATTTCATGTAATTCAACACTTACACCAATTTTGACAGAAATGTAAGAGTGCTTATAACCCAGTAATTTTCAATTTAATAAGCAAACTGAGTTAGAATTACATTTCCATTTAATTATGTTAACATAAACTGCTGGGACTGTATTCATTTTATGAATCAATTTTGGTTATAAAAATCTACAAACGCTATCATTTACCACAACTTAATTATAGCATCATTAAAACAAATTACGACCTTTAGATTACTGGACTCAGAAAAAAAAGCTAAAGCCACCAGAATACTCTTGTGAAGTTTTTCTCCTAGAAACAGTATAAAAAGCCCTGGATTGAAAATCTGGACCAGTTGTCAAATGTACCTCAGATTCACTTTTTTTCAATTAAATCAGCCAGGAATTTCGCTGAGAACCAATTCACAACATTAAGAATACAGAAGTCACCAAGCAATCAAAGGCATCCCACCTCTTCCTGCCCTGCCTGTCCCACAATGCTACAGCTGTCCCTGGGGCTCAGATTTAAGCCCCCAGGCTATCCTTCCATTTGGGCTTATTGAGTGCAAGGGCAGCATTGTGCATAAAAACAAGTGGCCCACCATTTTGGGGAATGATATCGTGATTACTGTCGATGTTATTTTTTTCTAGAACATTACTACTAAGTGTCTTTAGAAGGCCCTCTTTACAAGGGATATACTATATTCTATTCTCATAAAATCTTTATGAGACAATGTTCATGTTCCAGTTCCAGGAACAAGGATATTGGTGTTTGCTTCCTTCCACCAAATAACAGGGTATGGATTTTACACTGAAAAACCTCATCTCCTGGTACCCTACTTCTACCCCAACTTCTCTGTGGTGATAAAAATGAGAACAAATGGCCCCATAGCTCTATGCTCTTTTACATGCCTTTGCATTCCTGAAACATTTCTCAAGCTCATAGATGGTTGTGCTCCCTGGCAGAGCAGATTCCACAGCCTATGTGAGAATGGAGACTTCCTGGCATTACAGAATGGTGTCTGGATTAACTACCAGTTGATCATTCACTATACTTTCACAATTTCCATTCTATTATGGATTATGTCTTTTGCTTTAAGAAAAATATTTTTAAAAAAAATCAAATGCATACCTCAGTTTAAAAAGTCATAAAGAATTAAAAACTGTAGCCGTCTCCCATACCACTGATTGTAATAAAGTATTGTTTACATGTATTTTAATATGTCTGCATTTCACATAGATATTTTGGAAGTACCTTAAATGAGAAGGGGCTGTTTTTATATTTATTATACAAATAAAAATTAGAACATATGTGAGCTAAATTACTAAACCAAGGAAATCACAGTAAATCAAAAGTGGCATTGATCAAGTCTGTCTATTAGAGTTCAATCTAGAGTTAAAGCCAATCTCCCTATGATACAATAGGTGCTAGATTTCAAAGTATAAATGTATTCCCAAAGAACATAACCTTTAATCCAGGCAAATCTTGCTTTTTAGCAAACTTGCTATTTACACAAAAGATAAAATAAGGGGTGAATATTTGCTTTATACAGGAATTCATCATAGGGTTGTAATGAGTCACTCAAGTGCATTTAAAATAAGTCTGATCTATATATAATTCCTTAAACAAAAAAATCTCTTACTTAAAAATGAAATAAAAGCAAACTATAAATATTAGAAAAAATCAAGTAAGCAATCATATTTATATTGACTTAAAATAATTATTGGTAAGTGGTTAAGAAAAGTTACAAAGAAAAAAATTATGGCTGGGTGTCAGAGGCTCACACCTATAATCCTAGCTACTCAGGATTTCAGGATTGTGGTTCAAAGCCAGCCTGGGCAGGAAAGTCCTGAGACTCTTATCTCCAATAAACAGCCAGAAAACCCCAAGTGGCGCTGTGGCTCTAGTGGTAGAGCATTCACGTTATGCTGAAGAGCTGAGGGTACAGCACCCAGGCCCAGAGTTCAAGCCCCACAACCAACCAAAACAAAACAAACCACACAAAAGAGTGGTTGTTATCATAACAAACCTACTTTATGCTCATATGTAGTTTTTATGAGCTAGTCTTACATTTTTAAACATTTTTACATCTGTATGTTTTAAAAGGTAACACAATTAAATATGAATTTTGAAAGTTAATTTTTACTCAGATACTAATTTCTCTGCTTTAGCTGAATGAAGACTTGTCACTTTCTTATGTGGTTCTCTAGCAAAATTAATGAATATCTGATTTATTTAAATATTTCCTACTAAAATAACATTAATGATTGGACTTTATGTCTTCCCAGGAAATAACTGCTAGATAGTATCTTAAATAGTACAAAATTAAGGGTTATTTTATAAAAAACAATTACATTTTCATAACTATAATGTTTTAGAAAAATTGTGGTAGTGGGGATCACACTAAGGACATCATTAATGACCTTTTTGCCAAATTAGTTCATGTTCAGTGACCAAAGTTGTTTCTAGCATCTACATTTAATTTTTGTACATTTCAGAGTTCAGAAACCTTTTTCACACAAATTGATAAATTAACATAAAAAGAATAAATGGAAATAAAAGTCACTTGATTATGTGAACTTTGGGTTTTATGCCAAATATCCTACAACCTCTCTAGAGTAAGAAGTCCTGTTACTCATCTACTATTAAAAAGGAAAAGAACTAGCAACTATGCGTCTGATTTGCAAAGTGATTTGTAACATAGTCAATAAATTCTACCCCTCAAAAAGGACATCATTACATTTGGAAATACCTGTTTGGAACTGATGATAGTTTTATACTGCATGTCAAAGTAAGATTAGGATGGGCAAAGATGAGGATTCCTTTTTTGTTTCCCTAAAATGGGAGAAAGGTAATTGTAGGGAAACATTAAAAAGATGATGCATTTCAGGAAATAAGTGTATAGGCAGAAGCAAGGAATCAGGAGATTGACTTACTTAAAACTACTGGTGAACATTATTCCCTGGAAAATTATTTGTATATTCCAAAGGCAAGCATACTTTGATTTTTCTACTATGACATGTTGGAAATGTATTAGACTTAGGGAGCAGACTGAGTGAGAGAAAGACAAGAAACAGTAAGAAACCACTTAGTATAGCTGGAGTGTGGGGAAACGCACAACTGAAACTATCTCTGGCCAACTCACTGACTATATATCTTCTGTTAAACAACATACACACATACATACACACACATACACATATACAGACACATTTTTTCAGATATATGTTGCTGTGGCAATGAAAGAGACAAAGTGAAGAAAAATGGAGTCTGCTTCTGTTTTAAAGCACGGAGAGGCCAATTCCAAAACTATGTTAATCTAAGATAACTCAACCTGAAACATGTGGACGTGTATCTCAACTAAGTGGTTTGTATAAATATTTGTATAAAATAAAAGCCTTTTCCAATGTCTTATAGCTTTTCTCCGTCAAGAGTGGGACCTCCAACAAATATATGAAGACATATTTGACATCCCTGACCATAAAAGAAAACACTCATCAAAACAATACTGACATTCTACCTCACTCTAGTTTGGATAGCAATCAAGACTATAACAAATCTTCATGAGGATATAGTGAAAAGTGAACACTAATACACTGTTGGTGGGACTTCTACTTGCTCAACTACTATGAAAATTAGAATATGGGTTCCTCAGAAAACTAGGAACAGAACGATTATATAATCCAGCAGGATCACTCTTAGGCATTTCTCTACAGGAATGTTAGGGTATATTAGAAGCATTTGTTCATTGAACTATGTTCATTGAAGCACTATTCACAGTAGCTAAGCTATGAAAATAGACTAGATACCATATAACTCATGAGCGGGTCAATAAAATGTGGTATATAAACAAAAACTTAGCCATAAAGAAAAATGAAATTATATCATTTTTAGGGAAATGGATAGACATAGAAATCATCATATTAAGTGAAGTAAGTCTGCTCTTAAGGACAAAGTACACATTTTCCCCTCATATGTGGATATTAGATCTAAAATATAAATATATGCAAAAGCATATACAAGACCATATGTGCGTATGTATGCATGCATGTATCTATCAATCTAGGTAATTAATCTATAGTATATATACATGTGTGAGACACCATGATGAAATGCCTTTGAATAATTAACATGTACTTTAACAAAAAGAACATTAGAAAAATTTCTGGTCTGGGGTGTTGGCATTAGTGGGAGTGTAAAGACAAATGAGGAAGGAAAGGGAGGACAAATATAGACAAAATATTCTGTGTGTGTGTGTGTGAGAGAGAGAGAGAGAGAGAAATGGAATAAGACAACTTGAAACAGTTTTGGGAATAGCAAGTAAGGAGACAAAGAGGTAGAGGGGGAATTATGATCAACAGAATTATTTAGATAAATGGTCTTGTTAAAAAGAAAAAAGTGAGTAGTGTTAAGAATTTTGTGTCCTAGTAAGATGTTAAAGCTATTAGCTGACATGAGATATGAATCAAAATCAACCATCTTGGGATGAGACAATAAATCTGAGCATATGAAAAACATTAGTAAGTAAGGATGGTGGTTTTCCTAAATTATGTTGGTATTAAGTCCTAACTCAAAATATCATCTCATTTGGTTGATCTTTATAAGTAGTCAAGTTAAAATAAGGTCATTAAGATAAGTAACACTGTAAAATGTTATGTATCTGTCTCTGTGCCCTTACAAAAGAAGTAACTTGAACAAAGGCACATAGGTGAGAAAACCTCCAGGAGAAGATGATAGCAGTGTTACACATGGTACTTCAAGTTAAGGAACACCAGAGCTTTCTGGCACCCCATCAAAAGTAGGGAGACATGAAGCACAGTTTCCTTTAAAGCCTGCAGAAGGAATTAATACACCCTCACCCTGGTCTTGGACTTCTGGACTCTAGAAGTGTGACAGAATAAATTCTGTTGTTTAAGCAATCAAGTAGAAAATGCTTGATTAAAGTAGCCCTAGCAATTAAGTTAATAAAATAGAGAAACAAATAGGCAGGTCCTTGTGTTCTTTTTCCTGATGCATGTGAGAAGACAAAACAGGAAAGCCTAAAAAGCAAAACAAAGCACACACACACACATTTTTGGTCTAAGCTACTGTTACTTAGTCTGTTAACTGCAACTAGTACAGTCTAATAAATAAACTTCTTTGTAAAACAATCTCAAATAATACATAGGACCTTGGTATATTGGTAGGTGAGGTAAAGGGGGTGGAAAGTGCAGATGACATCGAGAGACTAGGGAAAGGGTAAAGATGGCTGACTAGAGGGGTATAATGCTAATCAGGGTCATGAAAATTTGCACATTTTCAGCTACTAAGTGAATTCTAACATAGTGCCTGCATTTCAAACTTTATCACAAACATAAAATATACTTAAACATTTTCATTTAAATTTTGGACATGGATTTAAGTTAAATGGCCCTTGTACAACTATATGTATATGATATTTACTTTTTAAAATACAGGTAAAGACTAAACCACCTTCATTAACAACAGTTACCACTTTTTGTAAAGAAATAAAATATCTGAACAAAGTTATACAGCTAATGAGTACTCACTCGTGATGATGAGAATCTGGGGAAAAGTGAACCATCCTCTTGTTACTGACAGGGCCAGGACTGGAAACCTGTGGGGACAGTTTTTTGAATCAGAGATTGGTTTGCAGATCAACAGCAGATGATAAGGATGTAATGGATGGGAATATAGTTGTAAACTGGAGCCTACAACCTTCATCCTCAAATCCAAGACAAAACTGCATAAACCAAAAGTATAATCTAATTCTTGGTAAAAATTATCTTGATGGTCACAGATATTCTGCAAGAATTTAAAGACTGTTTTAAAAGTATCTTTAAACTATGTAAATATTATTATTATTTTTTTTTTTTTGGTGTCGGTCATGGGGCCTGAACTCTGGGCCTGGGCACTCTCTCAGCTCTTCAGCTTAAGGCTAGAACTCTACCACTTGAGCCATAGTGCCACTTCTGGCTTTTTTCTGCTTATGTGGTGCTGAGGGATCGAACCCAGGGCCTCATGCATGCAAAGGCAAACACTCTATCATTGAGCCACCTTCCCAGCCCTGTAAACATTCTTAAACAGATCAGTGACTCATTTGCAAATACTGTCCAGCTGCTCCTGTATTTAATTTGATGATGAAAAGAGTTTGATTAGATCAGCAGATATTTCCATGGGCCACTGTATTTATACTTAGTTCCTAAATATAAATAATATATATTATAATGTAAAAATTCAAATGCACACAAGAATTTGGTCAAGGAAGCATTATTATATTATAGTTTGTCCACAAAGTTACAAGCTACCTGTATATTTACACTGAACAAAACCTAATTTGATGTAAGAGGGCAATATCTTACAATGTAATTTAAAAAATTAGAATTCCAACAACAAATTCAAATAACTTCTTGATATAAGCTACACTCATTTTTAAAGAATTTCACAGCATACCAATCTTACAGAAAGTTCTCAAAGGGAACTAAAGCACCAAGCACAAATGAATCTACCATCACAAATAGAAGGCATAAAGCTACAGTAAAATGTTAAGACAGGCTCTTTCATAAAACAAGACACACGGTTACTTATAGAAATGCCATTTAAATAGAAGAGAATTAAAAAAAAGCATGTAAGGCAGTAATATACCTCTAAAAGAAACATTTTCAAAAATTTTATTTGTTCTTGAATCTCATGGTAACAAGGATGCCAGCATACACACAGGAATTCCAAGAAATGTAAATACTGCAAATGCACAGACAATAACATTGATAACGGATGGCTGGAACAGCACAGGTAAATGTGGCTTAACTCCAAGACCACATCCACCATTCGCCTCAGAATGTGGTTTTCATGCTACTCCAGTGGGTATCCCTGGAATGCAGTAATCCATTTTCTACAGTGGGGCTATGAGAAAAGTCGACTGTGCCTATGTCATGCTTTGTTAGAGGTTCATGATCACATTATCTCATGGTGGACCTGACACTTTTATTCAGTTTACAGTATGTTCTATGTACAGGCAACTTATTTCCTTTGCCAGGGCTGCTGACAACCTTTTCCACACTATATTAATCTTGTTTACTGACTTTATCTTGCTACAAATATCAGAAAACTGAACTTTTTATCTCAGAGAAAAAATAAACAACATGTTGACAGAAGCAGAAGCTATTTTCAGGACTAAAATTGCTTGTTTACCTGAAGCTACACTTACGGAAAAATGTTTTGAGTCTTGCTCTGGCTTAAAGTACATAATCTGAAATTTAATAAACAAAGGAATTTCACATATACTCATGTGATAAATTGTCTGATGAAAACAATAGAACTGAATATAATAAAAAAGAATTTATAACTAATTTATACCACAATACAAATGCAAGCTTTCACTCTAGTCAGAAATAATCATACTATGAATTTCTCAGAAATTGCATGAGTATAAAAACTGGTAAATTCAACTCAATTTTCAACAAATAATTCACAAAAGATTTACAGTAGCAAATGTAGATATTTAAATTGTTTTACATATTCACTAGTAATGGGGTTAAAAAACAGAAGCAAATATTCTTTATAGCTATTTCAAGTCAATTTATGCTTTATGTTTAAGGAATAAAAATATACTCATAGTTTAGAATTTTTTTAATGAAATACAGCATCATTGACATACAGTTATGATGGTGTTTGGAGGTCATTGGTCAGCCTAAGGAGGAATAAATGTTATTACCATTAAAACCTACTCCTACTTTAATGCTTACAGACATGCTTATCTAAAGTCTAAGAATAATATATTCAATAGAGAATTCACCTGTGAAAATCAAGTTTTAGACTGAAGCTGGAGTAGATCTTAAACTTTAAAACACTTTTTTTCTTCTTTTTCCTTTGAGGCAAGATGTTACAATATCGCCCTGGCTGATTTTATACCAGTACTTGAACTCATGATTCCATTATATAATGCTGAAATTACAGTTGTGTTCCAACACATGTTTAACTTTGTGAGCAGAACACTTCAAAATATTATTAGGTTTGAAGAAATATACTTAAAGAATTGCTAACAGTTATAGTTGTTTTATGATGAATTATGAGTACATATAGAAATAAAATGAAGGAGTAGTTACTGAAGCTCAGGGAAGAGCACAAGCAAACTAAGGTTCAAATATCACATCAAAGTATTAATTTCTAGTAAATAAGAATGGTAATGGTTTCATTCCTCCAAACATGCCTTCCACCAATTCCTGAAAAAGACAATGCTTGATAAATCACATTTATTTATTTATTTATTTTTGTTGGTCATCCAGCCTGAACTCTGGGCCTGGGCTCTGTCTCTCAGCTCTTCCACTCAAGGCTAGTGCTCTACCACTTGAGCCAGTGCCACTTCTGGCTTTATCTGCTTATGTGGTGCTGAGGAATCAAACCCAGGGTGTCATGCATGCAAGGCAAGCACTCTACCACTGAGTCACCTTCCCAGCCCTATTATACAAATTTTTAAAAAGCCAAATGAACTTCAAAGCCAGACAGAAATAATGGTTTCTAGATCATCTAACTTTTATGTCATTATACTGTTCATCATTTGCTCTGTTCTACCATCAACTTATCAACTTCTGATGAATGAATATGGTAGTGGGAGACGAAAATGCAACAGCCATGTAAATTATAAGCTCAGTTAAGTACCTTTAGTGGGAAATTCAGGCACATGATCCTGATACCTTTCTCTAGTGTGCTAGGCACGGCTAGAGCCTTTCCTTACTTTTTCACTCATTTGTAACAGCAGTTTCTTCAGCAGATAAACAGAACAGTTGGTTTTATATCCTTCTCATTTTCATGTTGTCTTACAACACCTGTTTCAATTTCTACAATCACAAATGAGGAACCTACTGTCTTGATCCTTTCTTGACTATTACACCCTTTCCTCCTCAGTTTTGTTCTGAGTTCTCAACTCTAGCCTACTTGCCTCCTGAGTGCTATTCTGCTTAGGTACCCATGCCTCCAAACACTTTTTGTGGCAGGCTGCCATTCAAAGGCCTTTCAATTGCGTGAGGACTGGCCAATCAAATCTGTGCAGCCTCCAGCTGGAGGGGGCCGGTCTTAGTGCCGCCAGCTGGCTTGTCAAGCCCTAGAAGTTTCCTGTTTCTCTTAGGACAATTATTAATTTGACTCCTTTGAAGAAAGAAACAGCCTTTAATGTTTAGCAGGCTCTGCATGAGGGTCTCTAGTATGTTCTAGAAATGTGTCAGTCAAATACATGTGACAGATATTAAGGAAAACAAGTGAACAAAAACAATTTCAAAAATATGACTTTAACCCCTGGGGGTGGGAAGTAACAGGAGGATAAAGTGGGAGCAAATGGATTTTGATGCTTAGTCTGAAAGTTTATGTTCACTTAAAAAGGAAATTATGTTCTAATTTTTTTCAGAAATTTTAGGATATATCTTTTATCTAATATTAAAGAAGATTCTCCAAAGTCATTTCAAATGAGGGCACCTATGTTTTTACATTAAGGTTCCAAGAATTCTGTTACAACATGGTAGAAGAATGAATAAAATATTTCATTGTGTCATCTACTCTTATAAAATCACAGCATGGTTACAATTCACAAAAGGCACAATCTATTTGGGGAACAGAAAATAGATTCAGGAAAATAACATTAATATTACTTTAAAATCACATATGGAAAAAGTTAAAAAAAAAGTACTTGCGAATTACTTCCAACCTAAATACAAAAATGCAGCAATTCAAATAGCATAAATTGGATAGCATCGATAAGATTAAAGGGAAACAAAGTAGCTATCTGATTTAGGAAGAAGATAAAAAATCGCCTCTTACAAGGGAGTTGTATTTAATCTATCTCTACCTCAAGTTGCCAAATGCAACTTTCTAAACTGCTGTTTTCACACAGAGCCTTTCTGGTTCCCCTCCAAGGGCTCTGCTGACAGTAAAATGAACACAAGTGAGAAATGCATTCAAGGTTTCCCAGGGTCACTTCTTCACCTCTAGCTTAAGTGTCTAGCTCCTTATGAATACACTGATTGTTCTAAGCTCAACACTATGGCTTAATGGACAAAATTCAATAAATATTATTAGGAACTTACTTACATACAAAATTATGCTTAACTTTACTACTGGTGTCTATTCAGTTGGGTGATTTCAGTTATATTACTACTTGATAAAACCTTGAGTTACAGAATCCTTCTATTCCAAATTTTTCTCCTGTTTCTTAAGAATAAGATCAGTAAATAATTCTCAAGAATTCATCTTGTATCTTCACTCTCTGGCACTTCTCGCAAAGTAAAACAATGGATTTATAGAAGGTTCAGGAAAGAACTCAATTGGGTATTAAAAAAAAAGAAAAAAGAAAAAGAAGTGCATACAAAATGCATGACATGTGATGGATGCAAGGTCATTGTAAGTGCTTACCTAACAGGAGTTTTGTCTTTAAGCAAGACCCACATATAAGGAAGATTCAAAAATAAAGATGTATATTTCAGAAGACCCTTATCTGACACACAGCTAGTAAAGATCTTTTCCCATTCTGTGTGGTTTCTATTTATCTTGATAGCTATGTCCTTTGCTATGCAGAAACTCTTCAGTGTGATGCAATCCCATTCACACAGTAAGAACAAAGGAGGATGT